CTGCCGCATTCACTTTAAATAGGGCTCCGTCGAAATCCGTTGAGACGACACCATATGAATTATGGTTTAGGAAGAAACCTAAGCTGTCGTTTCTAAAAGTTTGGGGATGCGATGCTTATGTCAAGAAACTTCAACCTGAAAAGCTCGAACCCAAGTCGGAAAAATGCGTCTTCATAGGATACCCTAAAGAAACTATTGGGTATACCTTCTACCTCAGATCCGAAGGCAAGATCTTTGTTGCCAAGAATGGATCCTTTCTAGAGAAAGAGTTTCTCTCGAAAGAAATAAGTGGGAAGAAAGTAGAACTCGATGAGGTATTACCTCTTGAACCGGTAAGTGGCGCAGCTCAAGAAATTGTTCCTGAGGTGCCTGCACCGACTAGAGAGGAAGTTAATGATGATGATCATGAAACTTCAGATCAAGTTGCTACTGAACTTCGTAGGTCCACAAGGACACGTTCCGCACCAGAGTGGTACGGTAACCCAGTCCTGGAAATCATGTTGTTAGACAATGGTGAACCTTCGAAATATGAAGAAGCGATGGCGGGCCCAGATTTCGACAAATGGCTGGAAGCCATGAAATCCGAGATAGGATCCATGTATGAAAGCGAAGTATGGACTTTGACTGACTTGCCCGATGATCGGCGAGCCATAGAAAATAAATGGATCTTTAAGAAGAAGACAGACGCGGATGGTAATGTAACCATCTATAAAGCTCGGCTTGTCGCTAAGGGTTATCGACAAGTTCAAGGGGTTGACTACGATGAGACTTTCTCACCCGTAGCGAAGCTGAAGTCCGTCCGAATCATGTTAGCAATTGTCGCATTCTATGATTATGAGATATGGCAAATGGACGTCAAAACGACATTCCTTAATGGTTTCCTTAAGGAAGAATTTTATATGATGCGGCCGGAAGGTTTTGTCGATCCTAAGAATGCTGACAAGGTGTGCAAGCTCCAACGCTCGATTTATGAGCCGGTGCAAGCATCTCGGAGTTGGAACATTCGTTTTGATGAGATGATCAAAGCGTTTGAGTTTACGCAGACTTATGGAGAAGCCTGCATTTACAAGAAAGTGAGTGGGAGCTCTGTAGCATTTCTCATATTGTATGTGGATGACATACTGTTGATGGGAAATGATATAGAATTCTTGGAAAGCATAAAGGCCTACTTGAACAAGTGTTTTTCAATGAAGGATCTTGGAGAAGCTGCTTATATATTAGGCATCAAGATCTATAGAGATAGATCGAGACGCCTCATTGGTCTTTCACAGAGTACGTACCTTGACAAGATATTGAATAAGTTCAAAATGGATCAGTCAAAGAAGGGGTTCTTGCCTGTATTGCAAGGTACGAGATTGAGCACGGCTCAATGCCCGACCATGGCAGAAGATAGAGAAAAGATGAGTGTCGTCCCCTATGCCTCGGCCATAGGGTCTATCATGTATGCTATGCTGTGTACCAGACCCGATGTAAACCTTGCCGTAAGTTTGGTAGGAAGGTACCAAAGTAATCCCGACATGGAACACTGGACATCGGTCAAGAATGTCCTGAAGTACCTAAAGAGGATTAAGGATATGTTTCTCGTTTATGGAGGTGACGAAGAGCTAGTCGTAAAGGGTTACGTCGATGCTAGCTTCGACACAGATCTGGATGACTCTAAGTCACAAACCGGATACATGTATATTTTGAATGGTGGGGCAGTAAGCTGGTGCAGTTGCAAGCAAAGCATTGTGGCGGGATCTACATGTGAAGCGGAGTACATGACAGCCTTAGAGGCAGCACAAGAGGCAATCTGGGTGAAGGAGTTCATTACCGACCTAGGAGTCATACCCAATGCGTCGGGCCCGATGACTCTCTTCTGTGACAACACTGGAGCTGTTGCCCTTGCCAAGGAGCCCAGGTTTCATAGGAAGACCAGGCATATCAAGCGTCGCTTCAACTCCATTCGTGAAAGTGTTCAAAATGGAGACATAGATATTTGTAAAGTACATATGGACCTGAATGTGGCAGATCCGTTGACTAAACCTCTCCCTAGAGCAAAACATGATCAACACCAGAACTGCATGGGTGTTCGATTCATCACAATGTAACTAGACTATTGACTCTAGTGCAAGTGGGAGACTGTTGGAAATATGCCCTAGAGGCAATAATAAAATGGTTATTATTATATTTCTTTGTTCGTGATAATTGTCTATTGTTCATGCTATAATTGTGTTATCCGGAAATCGTAATACATGTGTGAATACATAGACCACAACACGTCCCTAGTGAGCCTCTAGTTGACTAGCTCGTTGATCAAAAGATAGTCATGGTTTCCTGACTATGGACATTGGATGTCATTGATAACGGGATCACATCATTAGGAGAATGATGTGATGGACAAGACCCAATCCTAAGCATAGCTCAAAGATCATGTAGTTCGTTTGCTATAGCTTTTCTGAATGTCAAGTATCATTTCCTTAGACCATTAGATTGTGCAACTCCCGGATACTGTAGGAGTGCTTTGGGTGTGCCAAACGTCACAACATAACTGGGTGACTATAAAGGTACACTACAGGTATCTCCGAAAGTGTTTGTTGGGTTGGCACGAATCGAGACTGAGATTTGTCACTCCGTATGACGGAGAGGTATCTCTGGGCCCACTCGGTAATGCATCATCATAATGAGCTCAATGTGACCAAGTGGTTGATCACGGGATCATGCATTACGGTACGAGTAAAGTGACTTGCCGGTAACGAGATTGAACGAGGTATTGGGATATCGACGATCGAGTCTCGGGCAAGTAACGTACCGATTGACAAAGGGAATTGTATGCGGATTGATTGAATCCTCGACATCATGGTTCATCCTATGAGATCATCGAGGAGCATGTGGGATCCAACATGGGTATCCAGATCCCGCTGTTGGTTATTGACCGGAGAGTCGTCTCGGTCATGTCTGCGTGTCTCCCGAACCATTAGGGTCTACACACTTAAGGTTCGGTGACGCTAGGGTTGTTGAGATATTAGTATACAGTAACCCGAAAGTTGTTCGGGGTCCCGGATGTCACGAGGAGTTCCGGAATGGTTCGGAGGTGAAGATTTATATATAGGAAGTCAAGTTTCGGCCATCGGGAAAGTTTCGGGGGTAATCAGTATTGTACCGGAACCACCGAAAGGGTCCCGGGGGTCCACCGGGTGGGGCCACCTATCCCGAAGGGCCCCATGGGCTGAAGTGGGAGGGGAACCAACCCCTAGTGGGCTGGTGCGCCCCCCTTGGGCCTCCCCCTGCGCCTAGGGTTGAAAACCCTAGGGGTGGGGGCGCCCCACTTGGCTTGGGGGCAAGCCACCCCCTTGGCCGCCCCCCCCTTGGAGATTGGATCTCCTAGGGCCGGAGCCCTCCCCTAGGGACCCTATATATAGTGGGGGGGAGGGAGGGCAGCCGCACCCTAGCCCTTGGCCTCTCCCTCTCCCTCCCGTGACACTCCTCCCTCTCCCTATGCTTGGCGAAGCCCTGCCGAGATCACCGTTGCTTCCACCACCACGCCGTCGTGCTGCTGGATCTTCATCAACCTCTCCTTCCCCTTGCTGGATCAAGTTGAAGGAGACGTCTTTCCAACCGTACGTGTTATGAACGCGGAGGTGCCGTCCGTTCGGCGCTAGGTCATCGGTGATTTGCATCACGACGAGTACGATTCCATCAACCCCGTTCTCTTGAACGCTTCCGCGCGCGATCTACAAGGGTATGTAGATGCACTCCTCTCTCCCTCGTTGCTAGATGACTCCATAGATTGATCTTGGTGATGCGTAGAAAATTTTAAAATTCTGCTACGTCCCCCAACACTGCCACCACCAATCTCCTCCGCCCACCCCGTCACCATCAATCACCGGCGACTATCGTCGCCACCACCTCCCGCGCCACCACCATCGCCCATCGCGAACGACCTCCACGCCATCGCTGTTGTTTGTCGTGCCACCACCAAGTGGGACCTATAGGTCAGGTTAGGTATTGGGGAAGATTTATCCCCAGTAACCGGAGAAGTGTTATTGGGGAGTTCCAATAGGTAGTTGTTGGGTTTTTTTGTTGAGCTGTTGGAGATGCTCTAAGTTTTTAGGAAATTCGCCGGGTTTCGCAAGGAGGCGACTGGGCGAGCCAAAGATGAAATGATACGTGGGAGGGGTAGAGTGACGGCATCTCGACAGTTCAAATGACGACCTCCAGAGTTTTTGTTGGGTGTGCGAAAGGGAGAATGGGGTAGAGAGATGGCCGGGGTGGTGTGAACCAATTCGCAAGGAGCAACCGCCCAAGTCAAAAATGGTCGGGTGGCAATGACGAGGCGGCGACGCTGGCCGTGGGGGTGCCAGCATCGACAATTAGGCCGGTTGTGGAGGGTAGGTGGATTGATGGAGGTGGCATTGCCATATTCAAAAGAACTTTCAATTTGACCAAGGGTTACATGTGAAAACAAATATACCTTTGAATTCATATTTGAATGAACTTTTCAATGGTATAATTTTTATGTCACAAAAATATATATTATTAATCAAATTTAAGATCAAAGTTAGATTTGGAAATCTTTATTCATTGGAATGGAGGGAGCAGGTAATAAAACCCATCTCTTATTTCAATTTTTTATAAGCCAGGTTGGAACAATGAGAGAACAAAGGTAGCCACTGAACAATCACAGGCTGATACGAGTCTTTGTGAAAACAAAATATTCAACCATGGCCAGATCTCCAAACATATAAGCTACTCCTATTTGTGTCAATTTTGGATCACAAGCGACACCACAAACTCAATGTACAACAGAAATCAGATGACCAAAAACTGACAGGGATACAGCCCCGTGCATCTGCTTCTCACGGTGTCCAGAGTCTTCGCTTCTATGCCTCTCAGTAGCTGCTGCTTCTCCTTGGCAATCGCCCTATATATCTACAGTCATCATCTTCCCTTATACCTTAATCAACTCCTGATCTTCTTTGTTAACACACAAAAAAGGCTCATGGTCTTCTTCGTTCATATTAAAAATCATCCCTACGTCTGCTCTTGCTCTGCTGTTTGCCGCTATAGTCACGATTGTTGCGCCTACTATAGCTTCGATCACTAGATCTATCGTAACTGATGTGGTCATCGCGCCTCCGCCCCCCTTCCTTGCTAGTATGGAGTTTCTCCCTGTTGTTCCTATCACGATCACGCTTGTGTGGTACCTCTGATCGCCAATCAGCCAATTTCTGGGCCTTTCTTCGATCGCCATTTCGACGATCTTGCTTATTACCAGCACTAGCACCGTCCTCATCAAAGACTAAATCATAACTGCGACGGTTACTGCCACCTCGCTGAGTGTTTTCATCTTTCAGAACATAATCTCGGTCCTTGTTTTTCTTCTCAAAACCCTTATCCAGATCTCGGGCTTGGTAGTCAGGGGCATGACCTTTGAAGCACCCATCTTTACTTGCATTCCGCGTGCCCTGTCTGAACTGTCGCCACAACTTTGAAACGCTCTGACTAAAATCAACTTGAATCCTTCGGTCATCAATCAGACAATTGTTCATATCCCTGTGTGCACGCTCGCAGGCTTCCTTTGCCTCGAACTCAACGAAAGCATAACACAGGCTGTCACCAGTCTTGTAGTCGCGGATTGTTTCGGCCGATGTCACGGTTCCGAAACGAGAAAAGATTGTATACAGATCCTCATCCTGTGTCACTGGGTTGAGTTGACAAACAAACAAGACATTGTCTGGTGGCTTGACCTCGGCATCTGGAATGTCTCCGATACTCGCAAGGATCATGGCATTCGTATGTGCTTCTTTAGAGCGGATCATCTCCTCAAGCTGCGCAGGGTCCACTGTTTCATCGAGAGGGACCCAAGTATCCTCTAAGCGCTCCTCTGCAATCTCGTCGATCGGCTTTCCAATGGGCGAATTTGGAGGAACAAGCTCAGCAAGCTCAGCAGGATCATCGTCAGGGTCATACAACACATAAGTATGTTTAATCCTTATGTCCTTGAATGGCCTCCCATCAGCATCAACATATGATTCATTTATCTCCGTCAGTGTGTCAAGACCTTCACCTTCAGCAACTACCCCAAACACAGTGTGTTTATCATCGAGGTATTCCACGTCGTCCCGCAGCGTGATGTAGAACTGCGAGGCGTTGCGGTTTTTGCCGGCGCTTGCCATCGCGACGGTGCTGATCTTTGAATGCCTCAGTTCCGGGTGGATCTCGTCGTTGAAAAACCGAGCCTGGTCACCGTGGAGGAACTTGTAGACGGAATCGCCGCCGGCGCCGGTCCCGGTCGGGTCCCCGGTCTGTGCCACGAAATCCTTGGCCACCTTGTGGAACAGGCACCCGTTGTAGTAGTTCATCTTGCAGAGCTTGAGAAAGTTGTAGGTGGTTCGGGGGCACTGATCGGTGTGCAGATCGACAACGAGATCGCCCACGCTGGTGACGATTAAGACCGACATATCCGCAGTACTCCCCTAGCCAACCGGCTGTAATGGGGCAGCAACCTGTACCGGGACGGAGCCGCGGTGGTGAGTGTGGCCGGCGACCTCGACCTTTTGAGGCGTGGACAGGGTAGATCAGGTGGCCGGTGGGTAACCCAGAATCGCCGTCGGCGTCTCGCCTGATTAGGAATCAACAATGCCGAGATCAAAAGGCTCCGCGAGTCCCCCGAATTCTGCGAGGATTTCGAACCGAATTAGGGATGAATCCGTTTACTTGTATTGTTGGACAACACGAGAGATAGGGGGAGGCGGGAAGAGAGCAAGCACCTTGCGTTGCGCGGGAGGGTGGCGTCGCGGCAGACGCTCAGCGTAGCGTAGTAATCCTTCCGTCGGCGCTTGGGCGCGGCCGCTGCGGGTGCGGACGAGGAGAGCGGAGGATTGGAAGGCGGCGGCGGCGGGCGGAGAGAGGAGGCAGGGTTAGGCGTCAGCCATCAGGTTCGGCCATTGAACAAGGCGGTTACGACGAACCGACCTGAGCTGGTGCTCCGAGTTGGTCTCCAAAGACCGATTTTTGAAAAAAAAAATCACAAAACATGTGTTCATTTTTTTTTCAAAAACACTCGACTGTAAAATATCAAATCCGCTTTTTAATTGTAATTTCTATTGGTAGCTTACCAAGCTGGCCACTTGGTCATTGGACCCTTTTAACCAGCGAACATCAGTTGGGACGCAAGGAAACTGAAAAGGATTTGCATGAAGATTTATATTGACCGAGGATGACACGTCTAATTGACAAGTATGATGAATGCGCCTCAGGTTTTTTTTATAGGATTTGCTGTGTTTACCAATTAAGTAGTCATCCTCGCGACAATATAAATTACCATAAAAAACGTTCGATTTGTCATCCCCTCACCGAACGTCAGTTGAATAGCATTACCGATGACATTATATTTAGACCCAAAATTTCCAAAAAAAAGTCATCCAACTGGGGCTCTAACATTTTGGACTTGAGTACGTTGAAAAAAGACATACAACCTTGGCAAGAATAATGACCCAAACGCAACCCAAATGTCCATGTTGACCGTCAACCCCATACCCAGCCTATAGGTGGGGTGAATATGGGATGCCCGAATGTGTCCACCACATAGGATCAGGTTCACTATGGTCCACCCGACACCACATATATTCGTCCCTATTCGCATTCCAGACCAAACCCTAGCCATTCCACTCCACTCCGTCTTAAAGCTCCTGTTTGGTGATCTCCGGCCTTCACCGACATGACAGTCAATGGATGTGACTTCGAGATCTTCCGATCTGTCGACTCAAACCTCGTCCCATGCAGGGACGAGGAGGAGATGGTCATCTGCATGGCTCTCCGCTGCTCCCGAGAGGAGTGCGTGTGACCGCTGCCAGACTCAATCCTGCGGGAGTCCATTGTGTATGCACAAATGGTTCTTGGATCCACTGGGAACAGTGGCTTCAGGCACATGACCGAGGACACGGCGACCATCAACTGGAACTCCGGGGGGCGGCACAATCACTTTGCTAGTGCCTCCTCTCCATCGCGTCGGGCTCCGAGTCGGAGGTCAACGTTGGCATGTGTTATGGGCCACCCATTGAGGTCACGCGGCATGCCCCCGTGCGAGGCATATGATGCAGGAAGTCCTGGTAGCCCTCAAGGTGGAGGCAGAGTCGCACGACGCCTTGGATGAGGAAGCCCACCATGCCCGAATCGTCGAGAAGCGGAAAAGGAGGATGGCACGCGTCCTAACAAAGGAGCAAAGCGGATCGGTCTATGCCATGGCCGAACTGCCCCCATGGAGGAGGAGAACGGTGACGTATCAGACAGCTCCGGCGGTGAGCAGATCTGCCCCGATCCATCTTGCGTCTTCGACCACTACTTTCGCAATGAAGACGACAAGTGCAAGGGAAAGCGTGGCCATGGATGAGCTTCTTCTCGTTGCATTCGTAGTGTCGGTGGAAACGACACCTATGGGGTCATTGGGATCCCTTCTACGGTTGGCGAGCGTGAGGTTGTGCAAACAACGGGTCTGGCAGAAAGCACACGGATCGTTTACCCAGGTTCGGGCTGCGAAGATGCGCAATACCCTAGTCCCTGCTTTGGTGGATGTATTTGAGTGTTCTTGTGTTCTTGAGCTAGCTACGGGGTGCACGCAGGTGCTCGCCGAGTTGGTGTAGAGGCCGCCCGTCGCCAGGCAGGTGCCTGCCCAGCTGGTTGAGCTAGCAGCTGCTTGGGAACGGTGGTGGAATCTTGGCTGGCACGGGCCTGGCAGTGGCCCTGCTGATGCCCTCGACAAGAGCCTTGCCGGGGCCCGACAAGGGTATTTCCGTGGCGTTGTAGTCATCCTCGGCAAGGGTCTTGCTGGGGGCCTTGTGGATTCCCTCGGCTAGGATCCCGCCAAGGGTCGTCGTCTTCTAGTCCTCATATGATCTCACATGTTTATGATCTTGACGAAGATTTGCATGCCACCACAGAGGCGCCTCCCGAGCCTTGGTTCCAATGTAGTTGGTTGGGTTGGAGCCCGTGGGCTCAAGGGTGGCTTGCTCCGCTGGCATCGAGCAAGTTGCCCCGGCAAGGCTCTTGCCGGGGCTGCGGAGGCTACCTCGGCAAGGATCTTACCGAGGGAGCCCACCTCGCCCTCTTTCTCTCCTGCGCTTCTGGTCTTGGCGTTGCCTTGGTTGTCTCGTGCTTCGGTTTCTCTCTGGCTTCCCTCCTCTGCCCTGCTAAGTGTGGCTGTGGCGCGCGGCTTTGACTGCCCGTGCACAAGTAAAGGGGTCAAAAGAAGAGCCCCTACTTTTGTACACCGACAGGAGCCCTCGGGCCTGGGCCACACATAAGCGTGCCGCGTTGTTGGGCTAGGCCCAGAACGGTGCGTGGGCAGGTGGGGCGGATTTTACCACAGTAACTTCTCGTCCGATGCGCTTCCCCACGACCTGCGTTGAACGCGCGACATGGAGGGTCGTGCATGACGTGGGGGTCATGCATGGGGCGGTTTCTGCACGCATGCGTCACATCGTGGTAAAGAGGCGGCTCGCGCATTCCCCATAAAAAGAGGGAGGCGCAGAGGCGCGGCTCATTTACTTGGGTGGACTCGGGTCGTGGTCTTTAAGGCGTCAGTGCCCCATGATCACGGGGTGGGGAACGGTCGCCACACCCGTCCCTTCGATTCCGCTTGCTTGCCACGTGTCCCCCATGCAGGTGGCAGGCGGTGGAGGCAGGAAACCGGGCCGTCACTGATTGGGGCAGCGGGTCGGCCCCGATCCCCTGCGGCCCTGATGGCTGGATTGGCCGAGTAGGGCGGCCAAGCCCCGACCCCGCTCCTTTATAAGGAGGGGGAGGGGGATGGCATCCCACATCCTTTCATCATCCGTCTCCATTCACTTCGGCTCCTTTCTTCCATATGCCTTGGCAAGAGGAGGCGCCGGCCCTTTGACGGTGGCGGCGAGGGTTGCTGCTCGTCAGCGCGTCCTTCCTCCCTAAGAGCTCATGGAGGCGGAGCCGGCCACGAGGGGAAGGGGGAGGGGGTGAGGCCGAGGTCGCCGTGGCGCTCGGGGGAGAGGGGGATGAAGTGGCGCATCGGCCTCGCCTCCGCCAGCGATGCCTCCCCTGATGGAGGGCCATGTCGGGGACCAGCCCCGCGAGTTCTTCATCAGGCTGCGCCGGCCACTGATACGTCTCCAACGTATCTATAATTTTTGATTGCTCCATGCTACTTTATCTACTGTTTTATTGGGCTTTATTTTCCACTTTTATATTATTTTTGGGACTAACCTATTAACCGGAGGCCCAGCCCAGAATTGCTGTTTTTTGCCTATTTCAGTACTTCGAGGAAACAAAATATCAAACGGAGTCCAAATGGAATGAAACCTTCGGGAACGTGATCTTCGCACCAAACGTGATCCAGGAGACTTGGACCCTACTCCAAGAAGTTTCCGGGGAGGTCACGAGGGTGGAGGGCGCCCCCTGGGCGCGCCCCCTGCCTCGTGGGCCCCTCGGAGCTCCACCGACGTGCTCCTTCCTCCTATATATACCTACGTACCCCCATTAGACCAAAGACGGAGCCAAAAGCCTAATTCCACCGCCGCAACTTCCTGTATCCACGAGATCCCATCTTGGGGCCTGTTCCGGAGCTCCGCCGAAGAGGGCATCCATCACGGAGGGCTTCTACATCAACACCATAGCCCTTCCGATGAAGTGTGAGTAGTTTACTTCAGACATTCGAGTCCATAGCTAGTAGCTAGATGGCTTCTTCTCTCTTTTTGGATCTCAATACAATGTCTCCCCCTCTCTCGTGGAGATCTATTCGATGTAATCTTGTTTTTGCGGTGTGTTTGTTGAGACCGATGAATTGTGGGTTTATGATCCAACTTATCTATGAATAATATTTGAATCTTCTCTGAATTCTTTTATGTATGATTGAGTTATCTTTGCAAGTCTCTTCGAATTATCCGTTTGGTTTGGCCAACTAGATTGGTAGTTCTTGCAATGGGAGAAGTGCTTAGCTTTGGGTTCAATCTTGCGGTGTCCTTACTCAGTGACAGAAAGAGTTGCAAGGCACGTATTGCATTGTTGCCATCGAGGATAACAAGATGGGGTATTTATCATATTGCATGAATTTATTCCTCTACATCATGTCATCTTGCTTAAGGCGTTACTCTGTTTTTAACTTAATACTCTAGATGCATGCTGGATAGTGGTCGATGAGTGGTGTAATAGTAGTAGATGCAGGCAGGAGTCGGTCTACTTGTCACGGACGTGATGCCTATATACATGATCATACCTAGATAACCTCATAACTATGCTCAATTCTATCAATTGCTCAACAGTAATTTGTTCACCCACCGTAGAATATCTATGCTCTTGAGAGAAGCCACTAGTGAAACCTATGGCCCCCGGGTCTATTCTCATCATATCAGTCTCCATTACTTTATTTTACTTGTTTTGCTTTTACTTTTTACTTTGCATCTTTATACCAAAAATACCAAAAATATTATCT